GCGCGGACCCTTGATCACTTTCACTACCATCATCTCCAACAATTTCAACATACAATTCTTTTCGACACTGCTCAAAATTTGGCGAGCTTTTTAATCGAGCCACCAACGTGGCTTTGTCGCCATGTGCAGACAAACCAATTGTCTTACACATGTTTTTTAATTCTGACACAGTCTTTTTCGCTGCGTCACTCATTTTTAATTTTTTTTTTTTTTTTTAAAAGTTAGTATCTTTAATAAGTTAGAGATAATAATTACATCAATATTAAATATATTTTATATTTTTGAAATAAATTCAAACATTCAAATTCTTATATAATTTAAAAAAAAAAAACGTGCTGAATCCCACTTCTGCAATTGTAGGGAGTAATTACAAACTTCTTTGCGTTGTTTATCATCATTTATTACTAACTTGTTCAACTTCTTTGTACTTGCTTGCAGCTATATTTGCTGCTTACAAAATAGCAAATACAAATACACTCTCTTAAATCTATTTACAACCTCTTAAGTCTAATATCTCTTAAATCTAATTACAAATAATACTTATATAAATCTAATTATAATAATACTTATATTACTACAGCATTTTTTTCGACATTTGTAAGTTGCCGATCATGAATAGTAACTTCATCTAATTGCCAAAACTTTGTGAGTAGGTTATCTAATCCTTGCTCACTTTCAGTGGCAATTGTACATGCCATTGTACCCTGATATCATCCACTAAAGATGCCGCTGCATACCCAACCGAAGACGGTTTTCTGCAATACTGGCATGTTGTTTGTCATACAAATCTGACCTACTGATAATAGCGAATGGAAGTACTCGGCACCTATCAATAACTCGACATCACCGCTTACGTTAAACTCGGAATCGGCGAGTTTGATGTTTTTGGAAACGGCCACTGAGATATGTCGAACGATCTGTTAGGTTGAGGCGAAATGATTATGGCACCACAAATGCTTTCATCTTTATATTGAAATTAGTGGTACGTAATGAAATGTTGGCAGTGACCTGATAGTTTGTCCCTCTCTTAGCTGAGCCAATACCTTCAATCCATATTGGGTTTGGATTTGGCTTTAATTGTAATTTTTTGGCCAGCCTTTCTGTTATTAAGTTGACTTGAGAGCCTGAATCTAGAATAGCCCTGCATTCAATTGCTTCGCCAGTATGTGAAATAATATTGACCTTTGCGGTCCCAAGCAACACATATGCTTTTGTTGACAGTGCTGTAGTTAATGCAGCAGCAGCTTCTTCTTGATTGGAGGAAGTGGTCTTCTTGGATACAGCCGCGTTGATATTATTGAATTTACGTGCGCCAGTTGTTGACGCCTTTGCATTGTACTGAAGATGGAGTAATGTGTTGTGCGCTTTATTGCATTTGGCGCAATGCCTGCTTCTGCAATCACTGGTTCTATGTCCGCTACGTAGACAATTGAAACACAATTTTAACCGTTGTACTGCTGAAAAACGATCAGGAACTGATAATGCCAAGAACTTGTTACACTGTTAGATTGGATGGCCATTAAGATGACATATCCTGCAAGCTAGCATATTGTTTGTAGTTGCTGTTGCTGTCACTACACTCAGAGAAAAAACGTATTAAAATCAAATGAAATGTAGTGAAATCAAATATTTTTCGCAATGATTTCCTATTAAAGTCGAAAATATTTATTTTAAATATGGACCGTAGTAGTATTTGAAACAAAATTTAAATATGAAATAATATTTAAAATAAAGCCGTGCCTATTTAAATAAAATATGAATAATATTTATATCAAATATATTACACAAATGATTCAAATATAACTAAATATCATTTTAATGATATTCTCGATTCGTTTCAAATATTTTTGGTATTTGAAATAAATATGAAAAATTATTGAATTAAATAACAAGCCATTAAAATAAAATACGTTTTTTTATATTTTTTTTTAATTTTTATTTCTTTATATTTCAACGTCGTTTTGATAATATAAATATAATATAAATAAACTTTATTTCCAACATTAATAAAATAAAATAACTTAAATTATAAAATAAGATATATTAAAAAGTAAGATATATTAAAGTAAGATTAAAGTAAGATATATTAATATAAAATATTTTTAGACAAGTATACAATATTATAGAAAATTAGAAAATTATAAAAACAGCTGTTAACAAAACTTATTTCTAATATAAGATTTTCCATTATTATTTTGGTATATATGAATTGGAAAACTCGTGAAAAATAATATATTTTTTATAACTATTTCATTCATTGCTGCACCAACTTCGTAGGATTGAAAGTGCTCATCAAAAGTTTTAATTGTTATTGGTTGACAGATCACAAACATATTTTCATCTTGATAATAAAATGTTAATACTTTAAATAGTTCAAAGTCAGTAATTCTGTGATGCGCTAAATAACAATTGCTATGATACGAAGTGCCTTTATATTGAATTGTTTTAAAAAAATTTTGTGACAAAAAATTGATATTTTCTGTGACACTAATATATCTACCTCAACTTCAGGAGAATCGTCGTTCGCTGGTGCCTCTGTACGTTGTTCTGTTAAATAATTTAGATGGTTGCGTTTTACTCTACTATTTGTATATTTATAGTACAGCTTTCCGCATGGTGCTCTTTTGCCTTTTCGGCAAATAAAATAATAATCCTTTTTAAAAAAAGTAATATTATATAATAGCCACAAATGTAGAAACTTTTATTTAATTGTACCTCAGCACTGTTCTCCGTAGGGAAATTATTAATTATTTGCTGTACTAAACCCGGAAAATCGGATGCTTTAATAATAATGTTGTTAATATTTGCGTCCTCTACAATAAGCGTAATTAAATTATCTCGGTGGATATTTTCCAACCGACCATGTTCTTCAAAATATTGACAAATCAGCTTTCCTTTTGCTGTCGTCTTGAGTAATGTTTTGACGTCCTATATTGAAAAGTGTTTATACAAACTATATTATTTTTCTGCTTATATCATTTTTACTTTATTATAATTATGTAATTGTGTTAATTTAAAAACAATGAAACTTTATTTAATTTTTAAAAATACTTGCAATGTTTGTAGAATGGGGTGGTTGTATTGGAAAAGACTCTGAAGTTGATAAACTCTTCTTTAACCAAGAATGTACTTTTGAGGTCATTGATATGGTCTCGTCATCAATATTGAACTATAATTAGTATAAAATAACAATAGTTTAATATATTAAGAGCATCGAAATACTATAATAGACATTATGTACATTCATATTAAAATCAATAAATAATGAAAAATTGTTAACTTTTTTACATGCATGAATCAAACAAATCTATCAAAATTTACACATAAACTTGTCGGCACCTCTAATTTCCGCCATTTAAACAGCTTTTCTCGAAATTCAGCTCTTAACCCAATATTCACTATAGCATCTTTAATATCGTCTTTCGATAAATATATTAACAATTTGTACGTTATGCCTTTTTCTGAAATTTCAATTGGTTTTAAAGACATATAAAGATTATTATTATTTACAAAAAACTTTTATATATTGTTGAGAATTTAAGCCGCAGATAAATTACAAGTAGATGTCCAATACTGCACAATGAAAACGACTAACACTCTTTTTAAAAGTTTTAACGAGCATATTCATGTCTTGCATACTTCAAAATATCAGTACGTATAAATGAATATGGTATGTATGTAATATGTACACACAATATGTGCATGCAAATCAAATTTAAAACAAGAAACCAAAACACAGTTGCAGTTGATAAAAAAAACTTTTTTTTGATTCTGTTGAATCACTACACAAAATAAAATTTGCCCAACATTGTTATATGCAAATTAAGTTTCGGGTTCTTTATTTAATTTTTTTAAAAAAAATATACTTTATTTATTAATATTTTTAATTACAATTTTTTATAACAATTTTTAACTTTTGTATTTATATAATATATTTAACTTTTCTGTTGCTATTAGTAACGAGACCGACCAAAGACTTTATTTTATTGACTTCTCCTAACGACTGCCAATTCAAAGTTTTTCCTTTGATGCCTGAAGTCGTTATTGAAAATCTGAAATTGGATTTTATCCAATTTAATTTGTATTATTATCAATGCTCAAACCTCCAATCATCTTTATACGATTGGAAATTTGTCATTACCTTACTTACATAACCCAACAAGTAGGTTATCCAACCAAGCCTCCAGAATGTCGCTAAATAGCAACAAACGGACACAGTGATGATGGTCACTGAAACATAAATATAAATACTTAACCCTACAAAAATTTTGTGATGGATAATTTACCCCAACACTAAATAAATATATACACAAAAAACCGTACGTGTTAAATAAAAATACATATATATATAAAAACTAAAAAACTAAAAAAAACTGCAAAAATTTGTATTATTATCAATGCTCAAACCTCCAATCATCTTTATACGATTGGAAATTTGTCATTACCTTGCTTACATAACCCAACAAGTAGGTTATCCAACCAAGCCTCCAGAATGTCGCTAAATAGCAACAAACGGACACAGTGATGATGGTCACTGAAACATAAATATAAATACTTAACCCTACAAAAATTTTGTGATGGATA